GCTGAGTAAACACTGGCCAGGCTGTATTGATCATACCTCAGTCCTGATATCAGCAACCCCACTCAGGAACAAGCAGAAAGAGGGGAGATGTTTGCTCTGTCCAACTTGGCCAGTTGCTCATTCCTGGTCACCCCTCCCCCAACTAAAATAATTACCCAGGAGTCCTAGCCCAGCTACCTTCATTGGTAATCAGTCTCTACCAAACACGCTCACCCCTATCTCCTCTGTCCTACCTCCTCCATAGTAGGACAAAGGTCTGGTCAATACGGTGATGGCTAAAGATGAAGTAGCTCTGAACCCCTAATGAAGTAATCGCAAACTAACCATCAATGGCTCCCTATTGACTCTAAGAGAGAATATAAACTCCTCAGCTTGGCATTTAAAGCCTTCACACTATGGTGCCATCCAACCTTTTTAGACTTGTTTCAAGTTACTTGTACATTTTGAGGCATCTTCAAAAACCAGGAAGACCTGGGTTCAAGTTCTAACCCTGATACAAACTGGCTTTGTCACTTCTCAGTGCTGTAGACCACTCTCTAAGACTTGAAGATGCAGAAGAAATGTGGACCATTATCACTAAAGAGATTCCTCACCTAGGGATTCCCCATATGAACAAAATGGCAGATCTAGTCCTCATCCCTTTAGATACTCTTTGTTCCAGGCAAACTGCCCCATTACAGTTCCCTGAACTCTAGATTTTATCTTCCATCTCCAGACCTTTGCTCTAGCGACCCCCAATGCCTAGCATACACTCCCTCAACACTCGTGCCTCTTATAATCCCAAATTTCACCCATACCTTTTTGTTGAGCTCCCTGGTTCCCTTTTCAAACCATCTTGTATTTACTCATCTGTTTCCATGTTGTTTCTCCAACAGAATGGGAGTTCCTTCAGGGTAAGGGACTATTCATTATCTTTGGATCTCCAACACCTGGCATAGCACCTTGCTAGCACAGGGCCCTAAATAATAATTTTTTAAAAAATTTAAATGATTGAAACTTAAACATTTTGCTAGGCTTGAGGAGAATAGAAAGATTGGCTAAAGTTGGGAAAATTTTAAACAGTTGCAAAAATTTCTCTTGAGGCCCCTCAGTGAACATTTTTCTATCTTCTAGGAAATGGATGTGGGGGATTGCTGGGAAGGAAGTATTCCCAAGAATGAAGGTCAAGGGGGGATTCATGGCCCATGGGGCTGCAGGCATTTGATCTCGCTCTAGAATATTTTTGCCTGACTCTGAGGTTTGAGTACTGCAGAAGCCTCCCAAACCTTGCTCCAAATTCCCCAGGGCACTTCTGTTAAGACAGCACCTTTCTTTCCTGGCTCTGAAGCCCCCTTCAGGAAGCTGGAGGGACCCCCTGGGGCCCAGAGCCTCCCTTTCCAGAAAAGCAGCTGCTGCTTCTGACTTCATCCCAGCAGCAGCCTCCTCTCATTACTCTAATAGAAACCAATCTCCCTCATGAGGGGCCCCGTAGCCACCCACGGAGACAAATGGACTGCAATTCTGTTCACTGCTGAGAGGCGCCTGGCCAGCTCCTGGATCATTGTTTGGCATGTCACGGAGAGATGGGGAGCGAGGAGTGGGGAGGGGAGCCAGAGGGATGGAAAGTAGGGCTGCAATTACTGGCCTATTCAGCTCCCCAGAATAAAGTCCTACCATTAGCTGGGGAAAAGGAGATGGAGAGGGGCAAGTCAGACTTGGGTCAGCCTATACTCTTCAGCCCACATGGAGGCAAATAATGTCCAAATAATAAGACAGAGACTGCAGCCCCATTATCACTGCCCCAACCTCACTCAACCCCACAATGAGGCCTTACCATGACTAAATTACCAAGGTCAAGGACCTACCTTTCTAAACTTTTCCAAGGGGCAGAGAGAGCAGCCCTGGTTCAAGACCCTGGAAATTCTCCCTAGTGGCTTGGCACAGGAGGAGTTGGCTCCACATGCTCTGAGGATGCTGACCTGGCCCTGTACACTGTTTCCCATTGCCCTGGCCCCTGATGCTCACCCTATACGACTTCCTTCCCTTCCCACTGGCTTAACTTGAGTTTTTTCTCTGCCTCTCATTCTCAACCAGAAAAGAATCAATGTTATTCCCTCCTAGTTCTTCATTCTCTGTCCTCCTTTTCCCAGACTCTCCTTCACAAGCATTAAGCTTTTCTCCTCCTATCAGCTGGTCTGGAAGGGGTTCTCCTGGGCCCCCCTGGAGACTGGAAGCTGGGCCACCAGGGCTGGCCGTAGCATGAGTTGTTCCTTCCTTTACACACTTGATTAATCCCAGGACCAAGTAATCAACTTAGGGTGACAAGCTACATTAGCAGCACCCAGATAGCTTAATTAAAGATATTCTGCTTAGCCCCACATTTGGAGGGTGGGATGGAGGAGATAATACAAACCAGCTCTGACAGCTTTCCCCTAGACCGTCCAATTGGCTAAAACCAGCCACACAGGATAAAGTCACAGCATTCATGAAGGCTGCCCTCATTAAAACAGAGAGCCAAGCACAGGAAGTGGGGTGACAGACCCCTGTTTGGATCTATTCCTATTCTCCCAAAGCCCTTCATCCTCTCTTCTTCCTTAGCACATAAGCTGGGGAGAAATGTCATTTTCTTTTTCTATAATCTGATCAAGGCAAGAGAGGATCTGACTGGTCAAAAGCTGAGACCCAATTACCTTATCCTACCTAGAACCATCCAGGAGACCATGTTGAGATCCGATTAACTTTTTCTGGACTCTTCTCTGAGTCACTAGGATACCCAAGTGGCTTATCCTAAAGACAGCCTCCTGGCCTTACTGTGCTTGGAGCCTGGCTGAACTGGAGGGAATCAAATGGATTTACAAAGAGACTTATATCTGAGGGTCCACTAAAAGTTTTGTGTCCAACCCATCTGATGTGAGTTAGCAATTCCTCTCAATCCCTAGGCCTAGCACCTCCCCTTATGCCAAACACGATGTATTGAGAAGGAGAGGGTTGAGAGAGGTTGATAGTGTGTAGTTCCTTGGAGTTTCCCCAAGGACTGCCTCCTTTGGTTGAAAAGGAGTAATAAGGGCATCCCATACCTCATCCCAGGGGCTTGGGAATTAAGGGGCAGAGGAGGATGCAAGTCTTATGGAAGACGATATCATTATACTAAAGTAGAATCCCCCTTGAGAAGTCAAGAAGCAAACAGACTAATACAGATTCTATAAGGCTGCAAGACAAAACAACAAAGAAGCCTCCTCCCAGAGAATTAGAGGGCCTGACAACACAGATAGACAGACAGACACAGTGGAAAGCCACAAGCCAGACAAACAGACAGACAGGACAACAGGATCTAGGAGAAGCCTGGAAACAGAAATGGATAGAGAGCCAGAGCGCTGGACCAACCTGGGAACAAATCATAACACCCCTCATTAGGTTAGGGGGAGGGGATAGAAAGGGAGGGCTTTCAAGCCCCTGACAAAACCAACATCAAAACAAAGAAAAACACTTCCCTCTCAAGAGGCCCCAAACCTAGCTGATATCCCCTCAAGGTAAAAGGCAAATGGCAGTCTTCATGGGAACCAAGATGGTAGATTTCCCACAAACACATCCCAAATCATGGGACAAAATCCCCTAATACGTTGGGGGTCCCAGACTTCATGAAAAAACCCCACCTCCAAGAAAAAGCCTCATTCCATAGCCTCCCCAACCCAAATCAGTTACCTATCTCCTCTGCAGTTTGAAGTCAATCACATTCCCACATCTTGCCAAAAGTACCAGCGGCCTGGACCATCCCTTCCCCACCATGTCTAGGCTAGAGAGGAGCAGGAAGAGGCTTTCAGGGATGGGGTAGGGAGACAGCATGAGACTGGAGGGCTGTTAGAATGTTACATAATGCAGGAGATGGAGAGATATGGAAAAAGCAAAGTACAGGAAGGGTAAGAGCACAAAATTCTGAATCCGAGGTTATGAGTTCAAACCTGAATTCTTCTACTTGTTAACTGTGTGATCTTGAGCAAATCACTTTATTCTCTGGGTCTCAACACCTCATCCATAAAATAGGGGCTTTGAACTGGATGCTCCCTTCAAGTTCTAAATCCTAAGAATCAAGAAAGAAACGCCAAAGGTGCTCTAGGATGAGAGCCTGGAATGTTGTTCCTTACCAGCCTTCTGGTCTTTCTCCAGGGAAAGGAAAAATAGAGGAAGAAGGCTCAGAATAGAGTGATGAGAGACATATGTGCTCATATTGAGGGGAGCTAAGGGGAAGATGTCAGGACCTCTCAGAACAGGGGTATACATGGAACATAAGTATACATTCTTCCTTAAGGAAGAAAGCCCAGGGGGCAGCTAGGTGGCACAGTGGATAGAGTACTGGCCCTGAAGTCAGGAAGACCTGAGTTCAAATTCGGCCTCAGACCAAACACTTGATACTTACTAGCTGTGTGACCCTGGGCAAGTCACTTAACCCCAATTGCCTTAAAAAAAAAAGGAAGAAAGCCCAGATTAGACCTTATGCATTCATCTCTCAGAGAGCAAAGGTCTATCTACATAATTCCCTACACTTGGTTTTTCAGACCCCTCCAGGATATTTACGATTCTCTGAATAGGTATAAAATTCTTTAAAATAAACTTTATTAGTTTTAGTTCAATTCACATTTGAGAAATTATTGCATTCTAGAAGGCATTTTTAGAATGAAGAGGGGTAAGGTGCTCTACTCCCCAAAGGGTCTAGGAATAGGGGAAAGGAACAAGCATGTATTAGGCACTAGGCTAAGAGTTTATCTTATTTGATCATCACAACAACCCCAGGAGGTAGGTGTTGTTAATATCCCCATTTGAGGAAACTAAGGCAGACAGAGGTGAAGTGGCTTGAAAACAAAACAAAGAAAAGAGGGAAAAATAAGAAATTTGATGAAAGTTGACTAGAAGAAAGGAATGTGAGTATGAAATGAAAGGTTTGATCACATAGGAAAGAAGACAGGGAAGGCCCAAAGGAATACCCAAAAATGGTAAAAGAAAGAGACAGACATCCAAATTCCCACCTTTGGGAGGCCAGGTCTGAAGATGCAGGCTTCTGTTCGGCATCAGCAGCTGGACAGCAGAATTGGTGCAGCACAGTTTCATTCCTGGAGACAGGAGACAAGGACCAGTCAGAGCTTTGGCTAGCACTGGATGACCCCACAAATCCCACCAGCACAATCATTATACACAGGCATATTTTGCACACAATTGCTGTCACTGGTCTAGGACAGAGGGAAAACTGAGCATCCCTGCTGACCTCAGCCTTTCCATCCATTCGTTCTTTCCTACAGAACATAAAATAACATGCATACAATGGAAAGAGCACTGATCTTGGACTCAATAGGCTTGGATTCAAACCTGCTTCTGCTACTTCCTAACTATGAAACCCTAGAAAAGTCATTAACACCTCTGTAACTCAGTTCCCTCATTTGTAAAATAAGAATAGGAATGCTTGTATCAGCTACTTCACAGGTAGGTTGTAAAGAAAGTACTTTGTAAGCCTTAAGTTGATCACAAAATGTGAAATATCATTATCACCCAGACACTCTTTCTCTAATGCAGTGTCTGTAATGCTCCAGAAATTAAAAGTATTCCTAATTATTCTGTCATTTCAGTAGTGTCTGACTCTTTTTGACCCCATTTGGAGTTTTGTTGGCAAAGACACTGAAGTGGTTTGCCTTTTCCTTCTCCAGTTCATTTTGCAGAGGAGGAACTGAGGCAAGCAGGGTTAAGTGACTTGCCCAGGTCACACATCTAGTAAGTGTTTGAGGCCAGATCTGAACTCAGGAAGTCTTCCTGACTCCAGGTCTGCCACTCTATCCACTGCACTACCTAGCTGCACCATAATCACATATATACATAATCATATATACACATGCATTTCTGCATGTAATTCTGCCTTGAAAGTTGAAAACTCAAGATATGAATAATGGTGAGATATGACATGATGGTCAGAAGTAGAATGAATTCTCTGTATGAAGAAAGGTAGTAAATTAAACATCATGCTTAGTTGGGAGTAAGGAGATCTGAGTAAGTGACTTGGCCAAGTTAGTGGCAAAGCTGAGATTAGAAAACAGCTATCCTTTCTTGCTCTAGAACCTTGCAAGCTCTTTCCCAGAAAAATGGTCCCTCCCCCAGCCCTGGGTTATATCATTTTCTTTTTTCACTGATCAAAGGGAGAAACTCAAAAATGCTATCAGAAACCATCATAATAACTCAGTCATATAATGCTTTTAGATTTCCAAAGTGTTTTCCTCACAACAATACTAAGATACATTTATTGTTATTCCTATTTTACAGATGAAGAAAAAGGATCATGCAGGTTAAATGATTTATCCAGGGTCATTCAACTAGCAAGAGCTGGAGCTTGGATTCAAACCCAGATCTCTTTATTCAAAGTCCAGGCCTCCTGCCTTTCTGGGAGGAATCTGAGAATTCTTCTAATCCATAGATTCCCAAAGTGGGCGGGGGGCACTGGATGATCCAGGGGGAAGGTGGTAATAGCCTCAGGTGTAATTGGGTATGGGTTGAATAAAAATAAGTGGGTGGTGGAAGCATGAAGAAAGAAGAGTAGAGAAGAAAATTTTGAAAAACCATTCATACATGTTTCATCTGTTGTATGACAGAGTTAAAGTGATAGTGATAAATTGTTTTCCAAATAAACACACAAAATGTGTATGATTGATCAGTGGTGAAGTCCTCTGACAGTTCTTAACCAGGAAGTGTTGGTTAGGCAATCATGTTGCATGTTGTTGGGAAGTCCAGCATGCATTGGCGGGAATATGCTCATGTAATGTCTTGTTTAAAATATGATACTATACAGTTACATGACTCAATATCGTGTCATCAAAATTTCAATGAAGGAAAAACCCCCACAAATTTACAATAAATTATTAAATTTAAGATGCATCTTTTTTTAAAAAATTACATATTTTTAAATGATGCAAATTAAAAAAAAAAAACTTTAAAGGGTTAAAGAAAGTAGATTTCCAAGGAGGCACTGAGTAATTTTTTTTGAAAGGGTCAGTAGGCCAAATAAATTTGGGAACCTCTGTCTTTGTATAATACCCCTATTTTAAGATGAGAAAACAAGGCCCAAGGGGAAATGTCTTGTCCAAGGCCCCTTTCAGAGCAGAAACTAGAACTAATGTTTCCTGACTCCACCACAATAACCATAAGTGCTCAGGGCGCTTTGTGAATTCCTCATCTGCTTTGTCACTGCCTGGGGAGAAGGAGAAGAAGGAGGGAGGTTTCAGAGGCCAGCAAAAGGAAGAGAAAGATGCAGGGTAAACACAAGTAGCTGAATTTGAAAAACTGCTACTAGAAGGAACAGATCTGTTCCCACAGAGCCTAGGAGGCTAGGTAGCAATGCACCTCCATTTACAACTGGGCAAAGGAAAAACAGGCTCTGCATTTCTTACAAATGCCATAAGCAACTTGTAATCAAACCAGCAGAAACTTATCCACCACCCATGGTCCTCAGAGTTCCAGAAAGAGGAACACCCACTCTGACAAAATCCCATGCCCTTACCACTCATTCCAAATCCTACACTCTATTCCCAGGAAACACTTTCCCGTTACAGCAGTTACTACTTCTCTGCTTTTCAGAGTGAGGCACCAATTTAGCCTTTTCCAGGGGCCATAACACAGAACTGCAGTTTTCCAACTCCTTCCTTAAACAGGCACCGAGTTCTAAGGGTCCCTCCCAATCGTTCTCTGGCTCAGGGAGTCTGAACGGCGCATGCTAGGATTTGTAGTGTTGGTGAGGGAGTTAAGCCTGTGAGGACTCTGCACCAGATTTGTTCGACAGTTTCTCCTTTGGTGATCTTTTCCACTCCTGTGGCTTCAATGATTGCCTCTGTGCAGATGACTTCCAAATTTACATCTCCACCTCCAAATGCTCTTTAGAGCTAAAGTCCCCCATCGTCAAGTGCCTACTGGAAATCTCCCCCCAAATGTCACAGCAGCACCTCAAACTCAGCAGTCTAAAACTGAACTCATCATCTTTTCCCCAACACCCATAGGTTTATTTCTATTGGTGGCAGCATTAGTCTCCCATTCCATCAGACTTGCAATCTCAGAATCATTTTTGATTCTTCCTTCTCCCTCCCATGACAAATTCAATCAATTGCCACATCTGGTCCATTCCCCCTCCAAAACACTGCTCACATCCAATCCTTCCTCTCAATTCCCACTACAACCTCTCTTGTTCCAGCCCTCACTTGTCCTTTCTCCTTTCACACTGTGTGCTGAAATAATCTTCCTAATATACCACCGTGATCATGTCCCTCCTCCATTCTAGCTAGGCAGCTAGATGACACAGTGGATAAAAGCAAAGGGCCTGGAATCTGGAGGACAAATTCAGCCTCAGATACTTAAAAGCTGTGTGATCTTAGTTCTTCAACTGCAAAATGTGGATAAGTGCTTATCACAGTGCCTGGTACATTGTAGGTGCTATCGAAATGCTTATTCTCTTCCTTCTCCCTTCCTCGCCCCCATTGGAAAACCTTAAATGCTTTCTCATTTCCTAACTAATAAAGTAGCATTCAATCCTCTCCATAATCTGGCTTTAACCTGTCTCAGCAACTCTATCTCACTACCGCCTCTCAAGTACTTTATATGCCAGTCAAATTGGCTTGTTCTCCAGACTCCATTCTCTTTCTGCTCTCTCTCTCTCTCTCTCTCTCTCTCTCTCTCTCTCTCTCTCTCTCTCTCTCTCTCTCTCTCTCTGTGTGTGTATGTGTGTGTGTGTGTGTGTATGTGTCGGTCTGTCTGTCTCTGTCTATTTCTTTGTCTCTGTGTGTCTCTGTCTCTATCTCTCTATGTCTTTCTTTCTCTTTCTCTCTCTGTCTCTGTCTCTCCCTCTCTGTCCTTCTCTTTCTCTCTGTCTCTGTCTCTCTCTTTCTCTTTGTATGTGTGTCTGTCTTTGCCTTTCTCTGTCTCTCTGTGTCTCTGGCTGGCTGGCTGTCTTTCTCTCTGTCTCTCATTCCTCTAAGTGATTCTCATATGTGGAATGGATACCCCTCTCATTGTTTTTTGGTTTAAGTTTTTCCCTTCTTCAAAGGCTTAACTCAGGTGCTACCTCTTCCATAAAGCCTTCCTCAAATTCCCCTTATCGCTTTGCCTGGACCTCTTCTTTGCACTAATCTTAATCCCCCTATATCATAGGTATTTGTATGCTTCTTCCATTAGCATGTCATATTATATGTGCCTTCTACATGTTGTTCAGTCATGTCTGACTCTTCAATGACCCCATTTGGAGTTTTCTAGGCAAAGATACTGGAGTGGTTTGTCATTTCCTTCTCCTTACACATAGTAAGTATTTAATAGAAGTTTGAATGACTGACTGAGGGTGGAGAAGGATTTCAACAATGTCCCACCCAACTTCAATGCAATCTCATTCCTTTATTTAGCCCTGAATTACCATGCCCAGGGCTCTGCCATCATAGCACCCTACTTCCAAGAACCATTCCTCCAATCCCTGCAAAGATGCAGGTTGTACTTTCTGCAAGGATGGGACCTACCCTCTGCATCCATGGTAGGACTGGCTCATCCAGGGCCGTCTTCAGTCATCCTGATCTATATCTTGCCACTAGACCCAGAGGAGAAAGTGAGGCTGGTACTTTGCACAGCCCTCCCTCACTTAAATCCAATTCACTTGCAAGTCATAGCGTCGCCTTCCTGATGTTATGGTCCTCTTTGAGAGCAAAGAACAAACAACATTCTTTAGCCTACTGCTATGCCTGACTAATGCACCACCTCCCTGCCTCTGAATTCTCAATTATTTTCATTATAGATGAAATAATTCCTAGGTTATGCTTGGTTTTTTTTTATGCCGAATTAACTCTTCTGCTCCTTCCATCTCTTTCTTTCTGATTACCTTACCAGATACACATTCTGAGCCATGTCCTTTGGTAGGACATGGTAGGAGTAGGTAGGGTAGGAGATACCCCAGGCAAAACTGTGATGTAGGGGACATTCGAGTCATCTGCTCCCTTAGTGAGGGAATTTTGATATGGAGGAAATGACATGTAGTGAAAAACAGTTAACTGATGGGTAATAAGTCAAGGTTTTTAGTCATGGTTTTACCAGTTATTTATTACAG